TATAACTCAGATATGATTTATTGATAATTTTGAAAGCCTCCTCAAAACGAAATATAAGTTGACATCAGTGTGTAAAGGGTATCCCAGGGGCAAGAAGATTTATTAAGGTGTCAAAAACATTGGCACTATAAGTGCAGTAAATATCATCTAACCTATCCATTCAACCACCTTCAGAGCCTCAATATAGTCGGGATTTAGCTGATGCAGGCCAAGCCGAAGAGGGATGATAAGCAGTAATGGTCGCCAGTCGTCACAAACTCCAACACGCCTAGTTCTTCGCTGATTACGACCTCGAAGTGATGAGCCAAGAGCTTCATCTTCGTCTTCTTCACCCTCAGTTTGGTCGAGCACGACTTCTGTTTCGACAAGCTCTGGGATCACGACGCCTTCATCATCATCTGCATAAGCATCCTGGCCGTCTTTTGTTGAACAGCTTTGTATGAGTCCAGGTTCCTGATCTGAGTCCAAGACGGATGAAGTTTCGGGGCTAGCATGAAATGTAGGAGGAAGAACTATCTCAATACAATCATCGTCGATTTCATTGCTGATCGGATATGTCAGGTGACTAAAACCCCCGATGATCGGATTCAAATGGATGATGAAAGGGACAGATACAAGAGATGGTAAGATTAGAAAGTTAGTAAACCGAAGCAATGTGATTTATCGAAAAAAAACAAATAACAAGACAATAAATAACTGGCTTAGACGAAGCAGTTATCTCATTAGGGAGTGTAGTGAAAAATGTTCGTAATGAATTGAAGATAAAAGCCTTGTTCACGAGGAAGATTGAAATCAGAATCAACAATAACCAATTGTAAATAAAAATAATCACGAAATAAAATATGTAAAGTAATAGGTGCACAGTGAAAATAAGCCAATAATTTGATAGAAGTTGTTTGACCTTGTTTTCGCAACCTGGTCGTATTGGCATAATGACCTAGAGGAGCGCACCGTCCTGAGTCCGTAGTATGCATGATAATTTCCAGTCGGACTGTGGACTTGGTATATTCTCAGACATTTCGCCGGCATCGTCAGTGAGCCTTGCCATTCTTAGCACCACACTACAACTCGTCAAAGGGACAAGTGAAGTCGATCCTTTGGCCAAATGTGTGCTAAACAGTTGTGGTATAGCTCCTGTCTTGGGTTATTCACCAATATACTTCTGCTCACAGCTGCCGCATTTGATGCTATATAATCCCGAGCAATCCAGTCTGTCAACTTCCTCGTGTTGCGTCGGATTTTACGAAGATAAAATCAGAAATCAGGAGGATGACAAAAAGTGGATATGTCTGCCTTCCTGTGAACTGAGCCAGAAATTGCAACAGTTGCTAAGACGATGGAATACTGAGGTGATAACAAAAGAAAATACAACACTTCACAAGCAACACGAAAAAGTTGACAAACCTGATTGCTCGGGATTATATAGCATCAAATGCGGCAACTGTGACTATCGAAAAACAAAAGACGTCTATAGTGAGTCTCTTCAAATAAAGTAGAACCATCACATTTGGGGGTTGGCATGCGATAATGTTATATAAGAGCGAGAGAAACGGTAGTGGCTATTTCTAGTTGGCTATTGGTAGATAAGTTTGCTCATAGACATGGTACATGAAGTAAAGGCTTGACCACGAGATTACGAGGTGAGGGAATCGGCAGCCTCAAGTTAGGCTGCTATGTCAATTGAGAATCCAAATTTTAGGGGCTTACACAGTAAGGGTGGTGTATACATGCTATCAAAAGGCTTGAGGAAGAGTTTAGAACAATGCCTTTAGCGGCACGGATAAGATGGCAGCGATGGAGTCAAATCACTGAAACAGGCAGATAAGGGAAGGATCCTACGGAGCAAGAGGTAACTCTGATATGACGCGAAGAGAGAGGATTGCGGATTAAACCGCAGCCTTGGATCAATACTTCCGGCACAGCGGAAAGGAAAGTGGCAGGATTCAAACTTATCTACTTATAATCCAATTTGGTCCATGTTTTGACGTAGGAATACCTTTCATTTTATTTAGAGGCGAGTTAAGGGGATTCGTAAGTTTGTTCCACGAAGGCTGTGGGGGGATGGCCTTGGAGTTGTGATTGCAGATTTGTGTGATTAGCTCCTCGGTGCACCACCCTGCGACCC